CCAGACCTGACTGAACACCTCAGCTTTCTCCGACTCAACACTGATGTTCTCCAGCTGCTGTCGGAGAGACGCTGCTCTGATGTTGTGATACACGGCCTGCAACAGCACAGAGAACCTCTGCTTCACATCTTCTGATCAGTGTTCACACTTAATGCAGACATGGGGCCTTTCTTGTAATATAAATATAAATAAACCTATTCAAACTAAATAAGTCAAATTCGTATTCAAAGACGCTATAACCGAAGGAAAACACCATGTGATTTTCTCCCAGCTGAACAGTAGTACTTCAGCAGGGTTTTGTAATGACTTTATTTAGTTTGTGCCAGTATCTCTCCTTCTTTTCTGCAGAAGCCTGTCTGTGCGGATTGAGGCAGATTTAACAGATCCGTTTCAATTTCATCTTTATTCCCTTTTAGGAACTTTTTACAAATATTAAATCTAATTATGTGCTCTGTTGTTTTGGAGGAGAGCTCAAAATATTAAAAAACATTATATAATTTGAATTTCATATATATATGTCTTTCAATAATTCAAGCACATTTCCAGTGATTCTTCATGAAGATTCAGAAATGTAATATATGACACATTTGCCCTGTATTAAAAGTGATATTGCCATGTATGTTCACATATGTACATTCTCTGGGTAGATGAAGATATCAGTTTATAACAAATATATAAAATCCACACAGTAAAATTTGCATATGTACATATGTTGTTAATATTTTTATGATTTTTATATGGTATTATGTGTAGCAACCATATATGTTAACAATATATATTTTATTTATATATGCAACTTTATTAAAACAACGTATATACAAAAAATATTTATGTTTGTATATGTTTTTGTAATAAATGTTCTTTTATATTTTCTTATATATCTGTATGGGCCAGATATATATGTTCATATATGATATTGTTCCAATTTCTAATAGGTTTCATATATGTTATAACTTAATATGACAATATATTTCATATATGGATATGGAAATATACTACATTTGCGTATGGGCAGTTTTCCAGTACTTAGGTGACTTCAAAAGGTCTAAATCAAGTACGTCAAGCTCTTTCACAAACCCTGAAGGAAGCGAGACGAGAGTGAACGTGGTAAAGTGCTTGAAATCTGAAAATACCATGTTTATACCACGGTGTAGGGATTGTGTGTGAACGGACAACATGATTGACAGCAGCAGGTAAAGGTGAAGTGCTGGACCTGCTCGAGGATGAAGGACAGGGTTTCCACCAGCAGATGAAGAGTGTGTTTCTCCAGAGATAAAGCGCTCTGCAGCTTCTCCTCCTCCTCCTCACTGAAGGAGCGCTCCTCCTGAGTAACACAGAGCATCAGCAGGAGTGAGTGTGTGTGTGTGTGTGTGTCAGAGTGAGTGTGTGTGTGCAGAGACAGCAGCTCATCACGAGTAACAGAAAACATACTGTCATAAATGAATATGCAGATGCAGTTCTTGATGAGTGTAATGACAGCTAATCATCTCTCTGTCAGTGTCAGTCTATGAATTCCGCATGAATACAGTGCGATCGCAGTAAATAGATGTGTTTTACCTCTGTGTCTCTGGGATTATTGAACTCATCTTCAGTCCGCTCGTTTCGTTTCGTGTCCAGATCAGAGACTGTATAAAAACAGGTCGATACAGTCAGTCACTTCCTGGCGCGCGTACACGTGACGCGTGACGTCAGCTCGTAGACACGCCCACTGCGATGTTCACTGCATTCATACACGAGAACGTGTGTTTATGTGATGAAATGCGAATGTGTAGTTAAATACGGCCAAAAAACAGGACTTTAATAGAAACAATGCATGCAAATTTATGCGCAAAAGCCCCACATACCATAATTACTGTAGCATTTTGTTTACTGTCCACAAATCAAGAACTAGATTAATGTAAGAATAATTACATTAACGAGCAAGCGATGAAAAATCAGCTTCATTCAAAGTTAAACAGGTTTTCATTCCCCACTGACAGATGTTTGTTCTTGTTTTAATCATAAACTCCCTTCATTTTGATAAATTTCTCAGAAAACGACTTCTCTTCATTCTGCATCTCCAGTAAATGTGTCTGGGTTTAAGGATGTTTAGATATTTGAACTGGAAAACAAGACAAAAATACTGAGGATTTGTTTTTTTTTTACTATTTTGCAGTTCATGCAACAACGTTATGAATTTGAGACTTTCTGCTCTGATTTGAACCCTTTATCAGGCCTTAATATGTTGAAGGGTGAACTAAGGCTTGTAAGACCCGCAGAAACCGATATTTCTCATGATTTCACAAGTAAACGAAGCTGTCTGTGAGCTGTTATGTGTGTATGTGTGTATTAACTGTGTATAAATGTATTAATAACCAATACAGAATATTGTTTGACCATTTATAGAAGTTGTTAAATCTAAGTAAACTTGTTCACTTGACCTTTCCATCAAACACAAGACATACAAGAGCCCAGAAAACAGAAGTTAGAGAAGAAAAAATAATCTGATACTTTATTTTGTTGCAAAAGGAAATAGAAGCACCACTTAAAAACCAAAGCAAAACTACCAGCATGAGAAAAGAGAAGACAAATCATATATAAATATACTCTGAATACATACATACACTCTTATAATTTAGGCATATACAGCGTCATTGAGATATTTCCATAGTGGAATGTTTGTTAGTCGTGATGTTGAGAGCGCTACACACACACACACACTCACTCAGACACACACACTCACTCTGACACACACACACACACTCACTCAGACACACACACACACACATGTGTGTGTGTGTGTGTCTGAGTGTGTGTGTGTGTGTCAGAGTGTGTGTGTGTGTCTGAGTGTGTGTGTGTGTGTCAGAGTGTGTGTGTGTGTCTGAGTGTGTGTGTGTGTGTCAGAGTGTGTGTGTGTGTCTGAGTGTGTGTGTGTGTGTCAGAGTGTGTGTGTGTGTCTGAGTGTGTGTGTGTGTGTCAGAGTGTGTGTGTGTGTCTGAGTGTGTGTGTGTGTGTCAGAGTGTGTGTGTGTGTCTGAGTGTGTGTGTGTGTGTCAGAGTGTGTGTGTGTGTCTGAGTGTGTGTGTGTGTGTCAGAGTGTGTGTGTGTGTCTGAGTGTGTGTGTGTGTGTCAGAGTGTGTGTGTGTGTCTGAGTGTGTGTGTGTGTGTCAGAGTGTGTGTGTGTGTCTGAGTGTGTGTGTGTGTGTCAGAGTGTGTGTGTGTGTCTGAGTGTGTGTGTGTGTGTCAGAGTGTGTGTGTGTGTCTGAGTGTGTGTGTGTGTGTCAGAGTGTGTGTGTGTGTCTGAGTGTGTGTGTGTGTGTCAGAGTGTGTGTGTGTGTCTGAGTGTGTGTGTGTGTGTCAGAGTGTGTGTGTGTGTCTGAGTGTGTGTGTGTGTGTCAGAGTGTGTGTGTGTGTCTGAGTGTGTGTGTGTGTGTCAGAGTGTGTGTGTGTGTCTGAGTGTGTGTGTGTGTGTCAGAGTGAGTGTGAGTGTGTGTGTGAGAGAGTGAGAATGTGAGTGTGAGAATGTGAGACACACACACACACACATGTGTGTGTGTGTGTGTCTCACATTCTCACACTCACATTCTCACTCACACACACTCACTCACACTCTCTCACACACACACACACACACACACACGCACACGCGTGACCTCCAACACGGCAGCGAGACACACAGAGGACAGAAGAATCAAATACTTCATTGACAGCATCACACAGTGCCTTCATCGTCTGTGATGCAACACAAGATCTGCGTGATTCTGGTAAACACAGTTTCAGAGGCGTGCAGCGTTCACTATTTGAAAGACGGCAGGTTTGGCACTTTGATGCTGATGTCCCCGATGTTGATGTTCTTGGGCATCTCTGGGAGGTTCATGTTCTTGACGGCCGACACAGCGCGCGCCGGAGCCCCCGCGATCCCGGCCTGAACACACAAACACACAGTTACACAGAGAACAGACACAGACCAGCAGTCACGCTGTACATCACATGATGCAAACAAACGCTCTGATCTCAAAGCTCTGCTCATGCATTACTCAACAATCAGACGGGATGGAAACCCAAAGAAGAAACGGAGTGTGGAAGACTACAGAAGCAGGAATAGGACGAAAGACACGACAGAGAGCGGATGAGCTCCGCAGAAACTGATCCAGATGAAATGAGGAGGAATCAGAGACACACAAACCCTCAGAAACTCAGACTGAGCGTATGTGATCTCATGTGCACGAAGGGTTAAAACCATAAAAAAATTAAAATTCAGCTATTTACCCAATTTCTCATTTTCAAATGGTTTAACTTGACGTACTAAAATAACTCAAACTGAAATAAAATAATAACCATATAGACATACATACGGGTCAAAGACGAGACGTGTCCGCATCAAATTAAATTTACAAAAGTGATTTTAGATACACACAAAGCATATTAAATGCAAGTAAAGTGTCTACTTTAATGTTTCAAACCATGTTTGTTAAAATAAAATGTCAAAATATGGGTGAAATAATGTTCACTGTCATTCAGCATAACAGATATTTCAATAAAAAATTAAACAATACTTATTCTGACCTGTGCTTATTAAAATATATAAAGAATAAGTGAACCTAATTGTTTGAAGGATCGTGGCAAAAATTGGTGAAGATTTAAAATGACAATTAATTAGTATTTTAGGGCTGAACTGTGATCCTGAAATAGTCTTTTAATGTTCTGAAAACCTCTTTTCGTCTTTGACCCATATATATATATAAAACTACTAAAAATGACAAAATCAACTAAATTACAAGAAGTTTAACTAAAATGAATATATTAACACTAACTATAACAGTATCTGAATGATTCTAAACTAACACTGTGCTCGCGGCAGGGTTCCGCGGTTAATCCGGTCAGCTCCACTGATCAGAATCTAATTAAACTCTGATTAATGATGATTCAGGCTGTTTTCAGCAGCTGTTACGTCAGAGAGAATATCGCTCTTCAGTCTGTTCTGCAATCGTGTAATCAACATTCACTTACATCTGCAGGGTTTGCTTTAATGCCAAATTACATGAAGGCACAAAGTGAGACTAGTTAAAAATGAAACTAACTAATCAGAACAAGTACACAGCTGAGTAAAGACCGACCGACTGCATGTGGACAAACGCTCTCGGCTTCTGATCTAAATCTGCTCTTAGAGCGTCCAGACGGTTTGTGATGCCTGAAGATGTGAGTCTTCATCAATCCGTCAGTCTTTACCCGCCGTCTGTTCAGCTGGAGCAGTGCATCATGGGACAGTGTTCAGACAGACACTGAACAACAGGACAGATGAGAATACTGTACTTACCCTCCACGCTTGTGTGTGTGTGTGTGTGTGTGTCTGTCTGTCTGTCTGTGTGTGTGTGCGTGCGTGAGTGCGTGTATGCGGTGTGTGTGAGTGTGTGTGTGTGTGTGTGTGTGTGCTATGGATCTACTGTCATCTCTAGACGATCCGCATGATATTCACACAGATCTGCTCTAATCTAACCTGTGATCCTGAGGACTGACAGTCCCACATCAGACAAACGCTCTGCCCAGCATCACACCAATGCTTGTTTACATGTTTTAAGCATGAAACATCATGATTATTCAGCACTGAACGTTCGGCTCTGTTCTGGATCTGATTGATTATGAGGCACGTCCGTGTGAGCGTCTGTCCTCAGGAGGAGCGTGACAGTCGTTGTGTGTGGGGTTCAGCAGTACCTGTGTCTACCTGTCCTGTCTGGGACACTGAAAGATAAAGGTCTGCAGAGAGAGAGAAACGCACAGAGCTGGAGACAGTCAGGAGAGAGTGGAGAGAGACAGTTACAGCAGCTCAAGATCAACACACTTCATCCAGAACGTCTGTCACGACCCACCGTCTCCTCCGCCGCGAACACGCGCTCTCACTTCGACTCGGGTCAAACACAGGCTAATTAGTGATGCACCGCAACGTCAGAATCCAGAAATACAGTAATTTGACTCGTTAGTCAGACGGAAAAATTCTGTTTTTAAATAACCTGTTAACTTCATTATAATAAAACCATCATGAATACAAGTTTTAATTAAAGCCACTGTTTAAATGTATTATGTGCAAATGTATTATATTGCATTCAATGTTTGTACAACTTAATGAATTCTTAAATAATTTCTTTCCGGTTTCAGTCCAGAATTCTCCTCTCGGTGCATCACTAGAGTCGATGCGGCAGCGCTGGTCTACGGTGGGTCTGTGAGGACTCAGATGGACTCAGATCTCTTTACCAAACGCTTCAGCTTCACGGCTGTTTGCATTGTGACTCTGTTTAAACGCTCGCATGCTGCTGAAACCCGAACGATTACAACGTTTGAGCAGGATGTCCATCATGGTAGTGTTTGTTGAGTGAATTTTACATCAAAATTGTACTTAATTTTAATTAAAAAAAACACTTTCAGGATGATTCTCATTATTGAATTACAGTCATAAGAATTTAGGGTCACAATGCAAAAAAAAAAAAGATTTATTTTCAGCTTTTTTGCAGAGAGACAGAGAGAGCAACGGGATTGAACTCTGTTCGCCTGAAATGTGTCAGAACTCCAACAAATATGAGCAAAAAATCTTAAAAATACAAAAATTAAGTCCAATACGTGTGTGCGTGTGTGTGTGTGTGCGTGTGTGAGAGAGTGCGTGTGAGTGAGTGAGTGAGTGTGTCTGTGTGTGTGTCTGTGTGCGTTTTTGTGACAAATGAGGACATAAATTTGTATAATGACAAAGGTATGACATAGGTATTACAAGGAGAAGGTGACTTTTCAGGACATTACCCCATGTCCCCACTTTTCAAAACGCTTATAAATCACACAGAATGGAGTGTATTGAAAATCTGAAATAGCACAAAGTTTCCTGTGAGGGGTAGGTTTAGGGGTAGGGTTGGTGTAGGGCAATAGAATATACGGTCTGTACAGTAGAAAAACCATTACACCTATGGAATGTCCCCACTTTTCACAAAAACAAACTTGTGTGTGTGTGTATATATATATATATATAATAAAATAACACATAATCCCTTAAAATGTAATTACCTTTTAATAATAAAATAACACAAAATAAAAATTAACCATATATATATATAATTTTTAAGGTGATAATATTTAAGGGGATTTTATTTTTCATTACATTTTTTTTATTTTCCTATTTTCCTAATTTTTATTTTGTTATTAAAATATAATTACTTTTTAGGGGATAATTCTCTATTTGTGTGTGTTTTTGTCAAAATACATAAATTTGATTTTTGAAAGGTAATAATATTAAGTGGATTTTATTGTATATCTTTGTATATTAATTGTTTTGTGTGTGTGTTTTATTTTATTATTGAAATGTAATAAAAATACAGTCCTCTTAAATTCGATTAAATTTTATTTTAAAAAGGTAATTATATTTAAGTGGATTTTATTTTTTTATTTATTTTTTATATTTTCCTCATTTTTAATTTAATTTTTATTTTTTATTATTGTAATTACATTTTATAGGAATACATTTTTAGTTTTTTTTTTTTTTTTT